TTCTGGTTCCATGACTCATGTCTCTGATTGTGGTGCCTGAGTCTTATTCCTGGAAGTGTCCAAGACCAGGTTAGACAGGGTAGGAGCAACCAGTTCTAGTGGAAGGTGTCCCTGCCTATGCCAGGGGTTGCAAAAAGATGGTCTATAAGGTCCCTTCCAAACCAAACCACTCTGGGATTTTATGATCTCCTGCATCACCCAGCACCCAGTGATCCCAGCACATCTCTTTGGGTTTTAATAGCATGGGAACATAGCAGGAAAAACCCCATGGTAGTCCCAGTGAATCTTTTGGGTCGTTTACCATGTCACATTTAAAAATCCTGCTTGTAGCCCTTATTTTGTCTTTTCTTAGTGCAATATTTTTGTGATCAACTCTTTGGAGCACATGGAAAATTTTCCTTATTTTGGATTCCCAATGAAATCTAAAATTGAACTGAGTGCTACAGAATCATTTGGTGTCAGGGAGAGTGGAGGAAGGAGAAGGAAAGGGATGGATTAGTCCCAGAACCAAGAAAGCTCTTGCTGTTTTACTTTTAAGTGAATTTAACAACCATGTAAAAAAAATAATCTTGAATTGGCAGTGCTGGTGAATGAACTTCAGTATTGATTCACCCCTTGGAAATGCCTGGGAGTGTTGCAGATCCCAGGGAGCACAGCAGGAGGGATGGTTGTACGGAGCAAACCCCCTTCTCCTGCAGGTGGACAGGAGAGGAGCAGGAGAAGCAGTAGTGGATTCCGAGCTGTGCTCTCCTGAACTCATGGAGACTTGTCTGCATGGTGGTATTGATGGCTGGGAAAAAATACTGTGTTTAATACTGAAACAGAAATAATCCCCAAAGTTTTCCAAAGACAAAGGTGCACAGGCTGTGTGCTGAACCCAAGAAGTCAGGCTTGGCTTTATTCCATTGATTTTCAAACAGAAAATCACATTCCCATTCCTGTGCTTAGTGAAGGACCTAAAGGTGTCCAAGGGCAGAGCTTGCCTGTCACATCTGCCACAGGAAGCCCACACAGCCTCCTCAGTAGCCACAAATTCATGGTGAGAAAGGGAAGCTCCAGCTGATGTGGAGGTGATGCCACCACCCCTTCTCCAGCTCCTTCCTTGGAGGACAGAGGAGCACAGAATCCCAGGGTACTGAAGCAGTGGAAGCCCCCTTGGGTGCTGTTTTTGGACTGTGCAGAGCTGCCCAGATGACATGAGCTCTGGCTGTCTCTGGCTTGGGATGGGAGAACACAAACACAGAGAAAATCCCCTTTTTGGCTTCCCCTTGTGAGCCAGGGAGGAGCTCAGATGTGTGGGAACTCTGAATTCCAAGTCGTCAAAGAAACCTTAATGACCTTCCAGTAAATCAGGGAAACTGGGAAGGTTCTGGGACAGCAGGACGGCTGGTGGGGCTTGGCCAAGTGCTGGAGGGAACCAGGCAACTCTGCCATCCCTGCTGGCACCCACGAGGTTGCAAGCACTTGTTGCCAGTATCCAAAAACCAAGCAGTGGGGCCAGTTAGCATCCAAAACCACTCCACTTCCTCCCCCACTTATTGAATTATTAAAGAGAAATAAGAACCAGCTCGTACATAAAGAACAAAAAAGAAAAACAAGATACTTAAAAACTGGCAGCCAGGCTCAGCAATAAGTCATGGCACAGCCCCTGAAATGTCCCTGCTTGTATAAATAGGATCCTTCCTGGGAATCTTCAGGATAAATCCCTTACATTTAATCACTGGAAGAGGAAGAGTATTGTGTATTGTGACACAAGAAAAATGACATTAAAAAAATAATTAAACAAAACAGTCACTGTACAGATTATTTATCTAAGAGCTCTTGTGCCAGAGCCTTCAGCCATCCCAAAGGACAAACAGTGTCTGAGGTTGGGAATATCAGTATCTTGTGGGCTTCATGGGATTTAATTTCTTTTTATGTTTTGGGTTTTTTTTTGGTTAAGACTCCAATCACCAATGTAACTTCTGAAGAAAGTCAAATAGAGCAACCAGAACATTGTTAAACTGCTCAACTTCAGCAGGCTGATGGAGACATTATTCCAGGAATCTCCATGACTTTACTACACTAGTTATGGTTCTTGGTGGGAGGGAGCTCCCTAAAACTAAACAAAAAAATTAATGCTCCAGCCACTGAGTCAGGAACACAACAAACCCAGTGCCCAGGCACAGTAAAATAAAAAAATAGGGAAAATCGATGAATTTATGGACAGATGGGGAGTATAGGAAGCTGTGTCCATGGTGTAGGTCACTGAGGTCCCATATCTCATGGCAGTGATTGGCAATTGTTATCAAACCACGAGATGTGTTAGACAAGAAAAAAAAGCTATAAGAAAAAAATATTAGAAATAAAATCTCAAGTAAAAATATAAGGAAAAAAAACCCTAGGAAAAAGAGATATTAGGGGAAAAAATCTTGGGAAAAAAATATCACGGAAAAAATATCTTAGGGGAAAAAAATCTTTTCAAACCTGCTCGACATGTACAGATGCTGAAACATCTGTGCTGAACATGATGACACAAGCTGGAACGGTGGCAGTTGGGGAGGGGGAGACTCTCGGGGGGGGTGAAGGCAGAGGATGAGGACAACCCCCAGGTGAGGGTCCTGTGGTCAGTCAGGAGCCCCCAGTCTGTGGCCAAGGGGGTTCCCCCACTTTTTGGGTGCTCCAACAAACTCCCAAATATGTTTTGGGGTCATCACTGTGTGGGGTGAAAGGAGCCAAATCCCTTCCCTCCCCTTACTCAGCTTAGGGTGATTAAATCAATGAAGGCTTTGGAGGGTGAGACCTTTGTCCAGGAAATTTGTCAGATCTTTAATTTATTTTTTTTATCTTGTCCTCAAAAAATAACCAAAAGAGTGAAGATCTTAAAACCCCCTGAAAGTGCTGCTCGACAGGTGGACAGAGCAAAAGCCTGCTGCACAGGTAAGGATTTTTGGAGCTGTTGATGTGGGGAGAAAAATTTTATTCTCTGTCCTGGAATGAGATTTAACAATAATAAAAAAGAAAAACTCAACGACAACAATAAAATAAACAACCCCTAAAATCCCTCTCTCCTGCATTGTGCTGGAAAAAAATATAAGAAACTAAATAGAATAGAACAGAAATCTGCTTTAATCAAAACAACATTATGCCAAAACCCCTTTCAAGGGAAGGGAAAAGTCCACAGCAGCACAGCCCTGCTTAAAAATAGAACAGCCTTTGCCTTGTGAGTAACAAAAATACAGAACAACACACTCCTGCCATCCCAGCTTTGAAGGATGTCTGTCATATGCCTGGGCCTATTTTACGCCCCTTCCCTTTTTTAAAAGAGGAACAATGCCATCTTCCCGAAAGGAAATAGGCAATAAAAACTCCAGCAGGATTTCCTATTCATAATTTTTCCCATTCATATCCTAATGGGTGAAGGAAAGAAAAAAACCCTCCACCAGCTTTAACAACTTAAACGGCACTTATTAAATAGATATTTTTACATGCCTGGTTTTTCCTAAATGTGGGATATAGTTTTATAGTTCAATTAAGTGGTTTTTTTTCTCCTTTCCAGATATCCTTCTCTGAGCCGGCTGAATTCTGCGCGAGCTGATGTAAAGCATCTGATGACAAAATATCAAATGTAATTCTAAAACACCCCGTTGAGTTTTTATCTGTGCCATTACATTTTTTAATTAATAGAATTTCTTCTTTTTTTTTTTTCATGGTTGTTGTTTTACAAATGTTGTGTTTTACTGCCAGTATGATCTCACTGCTTTACAGTATCGATAAATGAAGGCACACCTGCACTATAAAATCTGCTTTATATGAAGCAGGCCATTCATGTTTTTATAGCCCATTTTTCACCCATTGTTCTTGGGTCATGTCATAGGTGTGCTGTAATGTGTGCTGGAGGTGGGCGGCTCGAAGATCACTTCAACAAAATGGTCTAATTTTGCCAACTTTAGTGCCAGAATCTGGACTGAAAAATGCAGGACTAATATCCCCATGGACACTCGGCATGATGTCACTTCCCTGCAAATGTCCAAGACAAACAGCTATTTCCAGATCACTTGCACTTATACCATGATTTCTACCTCCTTTCTTATCCCCAAATTACTATTCCTGTGTTTTCGAGCAATTTTTATGTTAACTTGGTTAATGGCTGAACTTTCCTGACTCTGCGAAAGGCTCGCAGGGTTTTATTATGTTCCTTCATATATGACAACACTCATTTCAAATCTAAAGATATTTTTTTGGAGCCTGCAGACCTACAAGCTCTTTTTTTATGGGGCTTTCGTAAAACAGCAAAATGTGCATTCATGTTTCATTCAGAAGTTTGTGCACCCACACAAAAGGATTTTTTACAAAATCTGGTTACTTTTCTTCATTAAAAAAAAAAAAAAAAAAGCTTCGAGAGTGGATTTCTGAATGATTTTTGCTTTTCCTTTCTTTCCCAGGAATGGGCTCTCCAGGCAGCCACTCCATCACCCAGCTCTGCTCACTCACCTTCCTCCTGATTTGCAGCATTCTCCCTCTCCAAGTGTTCTGCCTCCAGAGAGCAGTGGGGTGGGAAGATGCTGCCTGCAGGATGAAGGCCACCTGCCCCTGAAATCCAAGGCCTCGATCCTTGGATTTCAGACTCTGGGCTCACTTCAGCTCCTGGGGTTTCCATGGGGCAAAGTTTTCCTGCTGCGAAGCTCTTGCTGGATTGGAGCTTAAGAGGGAATATTAATATTTTCCTTGCAGCCGACCTTCCCGAGGCTGGAATGCAGCAGATTGCCTCTGCCTGGCTTAATTCCTCAATACCTTTTATTAAATCCCCCCCCACCCCCTTTATCCATATTCACCCCACACACCACCACATCATGTTTCATAACATGCCTTCCAAGTGACAACTTTATGGTAGAGCCGAAAAACTTTTATTAGGATAACAAATAGAGCAGAGAAGGGAATGCCGGCAGAACCTTGGAGCTAGGGAAGAAAAGTTTCCGGGGGAGGGAGGGGGGAACAGGGAAGTCCCCCCCCCCCCCCAG